TTTACAGTATCAACTGGTGTGTATTTGTGATAGTTGCGCTGTCCCGGGGACATGTGAACACCATTTATAACCTTTCCAGCTGGCTTCCCGACAAGGAAAGTCAAGGGGGGGGGGAGAAAGGGAAGCCAGATTCACTTAACAACTGTGTGATTCACTTAACAGCTACACTGATTTGCTTAACAACTGGGGAAAAGGTTGTAAAATGGGGCAAAACTCACTTAACGACTGCTTTGCTTAGCAATGGAAATTTTGGGCTCAATTGTGGCCGTAAATCAAGGACTAGTTGTACTTGTAAAATGCTGAGGCAACATGACATTTCTTGGAAAATCATGGTCATCGGCTTCTAGGGGCATCAGAAGATACACAATAATGAGAGAGATTATTTGTCAACCCTAGCCTCCCTGCCACAAACCCCCAAAATCTGACTGTTGCTACTGGAAAGGTCCTCACAAAAATTAGGTATGGCTAGTCTAGAGAAAAGAAGGACTAGGGGTGACATGATAGCAGTGTTCCAATATTTGAGGATTCCCCCACCCCCACTGGCAGTTGAATATCTATGTAGATTTAGTAGAGTTACTGTTTTTTAAGGCTGGAATATGTGCCAACCTGATATTTTGTATATTCTGACCAGCTTTGGGAATGTTTTCAAAATGTTTAATCCAGACTGTTGGAATTTGCTTGCATTTAACTATGCAAGGGCAGGAACACTGGCAGTCAGTGAGAGTTCTTCTTTTACACAATTATTTAAAACTGGGGTAGGTAACTCATAACCACCATTTTTCCATGCTTATTTTTACAAGCAATTTATGTTGCATAACTTCTGCGCCGCCTCCCTTACACGGCTCCCGGTGGCTCACATTTTTCATTTGTCTCTCACCTAGTGTTGGGGCAAATTGCACACGGACAGTCTTAAAGTATCAAACAAGAGAAAACTCTGACTGACTGCAAAATACCAAAATGAAAATGGGTTTGAAATTTATATATTGCACTTTAAAATAAACTTCAGCAATATTGTTTAAAAACACATTGGGTCGCTTTCAGAGGTGGTATTCAGCAGGTTCTGATCACTTCTGGAGAACCAGTAGCGGAAATTTTGAGTCGTTCAGAGAGCCGGTAAATAGCACCTCTGACTGGCCCTGCCCCCATCTATTCTCTGCCTCCAAAGTCCCAGCTGTTCGGGAGGAAATGGGGATTTTGCAGTAACCTTCCCCTGGAGTGGGGAGGGAATGGAGATTTTACAGTATCCTTCCCCTGCCACGCCCACCAAGCCACATCACGCCCACCAAGCCACACCCATAGAACCGGTAGTAAAAAAAATTGAAACGCACCACTGGTCACTTTTTAAAAGACTGAGATAGGAACGGTTTTTCTGTATCTAGCCTTGTTCTACGCTACCTGTTGTAAATCTATATATTCTGGGAAAGAATAGACTTGTTACAAAAAGGAGCAAGGACAAGAGAACGGTTCCATCGGTAGCCATTAATCATAATGGTAGGGTACAGAATAAGCAGCAGCATAGCACCAGGGATGATCGGGTCATGGTGAGAAGGAAAGGACCAGTGTCTTTGTCAAGTCCTGCTTGGAAAATGTCTTCATCATAGTGTGAGCAGAGCTAGGAATCATTGCAGAGATGTTTAGAGTTTTAAACAAGAAAAAAATGTCTGATGTCTGTAATTCACAGGGGGGAAAAAAAGGAGTGTCTAGTTTTTGGCATCTTCCCCAATTCTGTGTGGATACTGGTGAGTCACAGATTTCTGAATTTTGCGTCACTAGTCTAATGCTTGGAGTGAAAGTTCAGGATCAAATAAAAACTAGTCTCGGATCAATCTGAGGATCTTGGAAAAGGTATCCTGAAACCTGTAATATCAATTGATTTGCATTTTGCTCGCCGTAACATTTTTCATTGAAACCGTTGAGCTAGCCAACTACCAGAGTTTCTTCTGTGTACCTCTAATTATAGGTAGTCCTCAGTTAATGACTGCCTAGTTAGTGACTGTTTGATACTAGGATCAGGGGTGGGTTCTACTTACCTTTACTACCGGTTCGGAACGGGATCGCACGTGCTTCTGCGCATGCATTACGCTTATAATGCTGTGTACATGTTTGGTCATTTTTGCAGATCCATTTGTGAGAAATGGATCTGCAGAGTTGGAAACGGTACCAAACTGAACAACAAAGAATATTAGCAGATTGAAGTAGCTTCCCTATGAGAAAAAAAAGAGTACAGTCCTTGATTTACAACAGTTTATGGAGCGACCATTCAAAATTAGAATGGCACTGAAAAAAGTGATTTATGACTGTTTATCACATTTACAACCATTGAGCATCCCCATGGTCATGTAATCAGAATTCAGACACTTGGCAACTGACTCATATTTATGATGGTTGAAGTATCCAGGGCTCATGTGATTTTCTTTTGCGACTTTCTGGCAAGCTGAGTCAATGGGGAAGCCAGATTCACTTAACAGCTGGATTGCTAACTTAACAACTGCAGTGATTCACGTAATCACTGTGGCAAGAAAGGTCGTAAAATGAGGCAAAACTCACTTAACAAATGTCTCACTTAGCAACAGAAATTTTGGGCGCAGTTGTGTTTGTAAGTTGAGGGCTTCATGTACAGCTCCTGGGGTTAAGATGTGTAAGTAGAAACATGATTGATTGATTCCACTGAGTCTTTCTCAGCTCTTAGAGACCACATTTTCTCCATAATGATTTGTCCCTAATCTGGTACAGATAGTTCTCGCGTTACGAAAGTAATGGAGTCTGTTCATTCCATTTGTAACCAGAGGATTCGTGGGAGTGAATCTCGTACATTGAACGTATACTTTGCCAGCCCCTCCGAACCTCCATTTTGGCCTGCAAAGTGCCAGGCGAGACCTGTGCAGGCCTAAATGGAGCTCTGTTTTGGCCAGCAAAAATGCCAGGCAAGGCCTGTGCAGGCCAAAACAGAACTCTGTTTTGGCTGGCAAAGTGCGGGACAAATGTTGCAGAGCCTCTGGGGTTGTTCGTATGGGCGAACAACTGTTATGGTGCTGCAAGATTTGTAGTTTCGGGACTTGTTCATAACCACTAGAGGGCATTGATCGCATAACTTCAAACGTTCGCTAAGGGAACACTCATAACCTGGGGATTACCTGAAATTTCAGGACGTCCAATGGTACATCCATTGTCACTGGAACTGACTCCATACACCTTGATGCTAGTCATCCTCTTCTTCTCTTTCCTTCCACTTTTCCCTTAAAGCATTAGAGCCTTTTCTTGAGATCTGGGTCTTCATTTAATGTGTCTGAAGTAGGATAATTGGAGACTGATCATTTGTGAGAACTCTGGGTTGATTTCTTCAATGATCCATTTGTTGGTCTTCTTGGCTTGTCCATCGAGTCTTTTGGGTTTCATGGAAAAAGACTTGGGAAAAAAATTGGAAATTTGATCTTATAAATGTTGATGGTAGCAAGACTACTGTATGCACAGAAATGGACATTTTGATTGCCACCATGGACGAATAGCTACAGAAGCTGATGGAGTTGGCAGAGATGGTTAAATTGCCCCTCTTTATCAAAGAAAGGAATATAAGTACTTTTGTTGCTACTTGGAAACTGCTTCTGGACTTTGTGCTTGAGGTGGAAAAAAATGAAACGTTGATTTTGGGTATTACTAATTAGATTGATTTGTTGTTATAGAAATGGCTAGTTTATATTATTATGGAAAAGTAAAAAGTTGAGGTTTAATGTTAATGCTTTATTCTGCTGCAATAGAGGGAGTCGGAAGTCAAAGCTTCTTTTTTTTAATTTTCTCCCTTCCCTCCTCTTTCCTTCCCTTCTCCTCTCCACTGCGTGACTATTTGCTTTTGAATTTTTGTATTCTATTCTATAATCTAATAAGATAAAATTAAATTAAATTAAAAAAAATAGAGTCTTCAACATTAAAGTTCCAAAGCATCAATACTCTTCCTATCCTGCTTCTTCAAAGTCCAACTTTCTCTTCCATAGAGTATCACAGGAAGCACAATTATTTGCAGGATGCTGCTCTTTGTAGGCATAGACAAACCATGACATTTGAATATCTTTTCCAAATATGATAAGAGATACTGTATGTAAAATACAGCTTCCCTAGTAAAGGTTGGTGATGACATGGGCACATCCCTGGCAAGACATGAGGCTGAGGAAAGCTAAGGGGATGCACTTAGCTCTTAAAGCAAATAATCCTCACCTCTGGACATGTTTTAACTGAGCGGATGGCAACAATGACAGGCTCTTTGCAGATGCTTAGTGATCCCCCCCCCTTACCATCTGGAGCTCAGCTGGGGCTTAAAAATAGCTCAAGTTAAAAAGATTTGGTGGAAGCTACAGATGGCAGTCTCTACTAGGAGACTGTTGAGTTTGACTTCTGCCAACTGCTTTGATATAGTTTACTGTCATTTTACTTGCCAACAATACAGAAGCAGTTTCTCATTGCCTTCTTGTTGCTTGTTCCTGACTTCTTGATCTGATCTACAACCTGGGCATTTCCTGGTGGTCTCCCATTCAAGAACTAAATAAGCCAGAGACTGGGGGGGGGGGGGGTTGTTGGGTTTTTTTTACAATACCAATTGGGTTGGCCACGTGCTGCCACCTGCCGAGACCAAAAAAAGTGGAGAGTTTTTCTCCTTCCCAGGATTAGAAGTGATGTATATTTATATATAAAACCCGAAACCATAAAAAACTAAAATGCTTAAGAGAAGATTCAGGACTGATAAAACAGCAAGCGCCCTTTGGTAGAAGGCTGTCATTCAGAGTGACCGAGAAGAAGACCAGATTAGATTCAAGATTAGAATCAGATCGAATCGTTATCAACGTTTTAACTCCTCTCAACGGATGTTCGCGGTCTCCCGAATTTAGGCGCTCTATTTCTTCGGGACCGGCTCCTCAGGAGCCAAATGGAGAAGGACCGTCCTGCATATCGGTGAGCGACTCTTGGAGGTCTTCCGGGCTCCTCTGCACGTGCTCAGAGAATCTGTCGCCACGGGCACCGGGGTGCTGGCTTGGAAAAACAACCTGGGCTCGCGCGGTGTGAAGCGCACGGCCCGGAAAACCGGACCAACCAGCAACTGGGGGGGCGCTTTGGCTCCTCGCTCCCTGCCCTCCCTTTTCTTCGGCCGGCCTCTCCCTCTAATGTAGCGGCGCAGCAGGCACCGCCGCGTCGCACCTGCCGCAACAGGGACCAGCCGATCAAACCGCCGCCGCCGCCGCCGTGGCGTTGTTGTTCCCTTGCCGAAAGTTGCGCTGCGAGCGATCGAGCTTTAGGGCATCCGGATGCGCTCGGAGGAATCAGCAGCAGGAGCCACCGCCGCGCCACCTTCGACAGGATCGCTCCGTCTTGGGACGGCGCCCCGGAGTCTCCCGCGAGCAGATCCGGGTATAAACTGCTTAAGCAAGAGCAAGCTGCCAAGCGCTCGGCTGCAAGGCCGGCCCTCGCTCGGGCTGTGGATCTGGGCTCGGGGATAGCGGGCACTCGCTGCGGCAAGGGTATGGGGGGCGGCCGGCGGCCCTGCGCGGGGCCATTTTAGCTTCCATTCCAAGCTCTGGACACTTCTGGCCCTCCTCGCAAGGGGAGAGGATTCGGAGAGGCGGATCGAGACGACGACGAGGAGCAGCAGTGGCCGCGGGGTTTTTTGTTTTGTTTCTCCCCCCCCCCACACCTTCCCAGCTGATGCCCGCGTGGGTGCTGCGGAAGGAGAGGGCTGGATCAGGGAAGCCAGGCTCCCGTGGAGCGGGGGAAGAAGGAGGAAGGTTGGTGGTGGAGCTGGGGGGGGGGGGGGGGGGGGGGCGGGGAGCGCTTCCAAGCCGCCACCCCATTTGAAGGGAGGCCATGATGGGGGAGCGCTCAAACCGGCACAGGAGCGGCGGGGCGGGGGGATCGGCTGCCAGTCACCCGACGGAGGAATGATTCAGGCGGCACGCTCGGCCCGATCCCGCCCCTCGCGCCTTTACACCCGCGGCGGCACCGAGTTCCCGAGACAGAGATGAGCGCCGAGAAATCAGCCGGTAACGCGGCGAAGTAGAGCGCGGGCGGGGTGATTGGCGGGGCGGTGATGGTGGGGTGGTGGGTGGGAGGTTGAAGGCGAGGGCGCTTGTGGTCAGGCCGCTCAGCAGGGACGGAGGTGGCGGGGAAGCGGGTGGGTGGCGGGGCTGCGAAGATTGCCGTGGGGCGGGAGGTGCGAGCGGGGATCCGTTTGGGGAAGGGGATCATCCTTTTTTTTTTTTCTCTTCCCCCCCCCCCCCCCCCCCCACATCACTGCTGGCCTTTTAAAGATCCCGAGATGGAATCCCCGCACCTCGAACTGCTGGAGTCCCCGGAGGGCTGTCCCTCCCCTCTGGAGCTCAGGTCTGCCCCCAGTAAGAAGATGTGGGTCAAGCTCCGAGCACTGTGAGTAACCCTGTCGCGGCTCTCGGACGATTCAAATCGCTCCGTCTTCTCTGCAGTTAGTTTTTTTTTTTTTTCCCCTTCTTCTTCTTCTTCCCCTCTTGTCCCGATCACTTTCCGATCTTCCCTTCCGGTCTTCGGTAGCCTTGGATACTTCTCCTCCAGTTTCTTGCAGTCGGACTTAGCCTGGGAGCTTTGATAGGCGGGCAAAGCTTTGCTACAAGTGTGTGTGTGTGTAGTTATGGCGATGGGAAAGGGTGCTTGGTTTGCAACGTGGTTCCCCTGCCTGACAGAAAAGGGGTCATCCGGTGGTCCCCTGTGCCCTGTCACTCCGACTCCCTTCTTTGAGATTCACTTAAGCTTCCGTGCATCCGAGTGAATTGATAATGCTGAATTTTGTGTACGATGCTGACATTGGGTATTGCCAGGCTTCACCGCTGGGAGGCTTTTAATTTATTTTTTTTTTCCCCCTGCCGCAGCAATTAATAGCACTGGCTGAATAGCCTCAAGCTGCTTTGGTGTGGGACTTCCCTCCCCCTTCCATACTCCCCTGCTGTTGCGCCAGCGCTCTCTGATGTGTGTGTGGGGGGGGGGTGGGTGGGGGAGAGAGACTGGTTAGCATGAAACAAGGCTTCATGCCGATGGGAGGAGTGCGCCTTTAAAAGATGCTTGTTGTCATTTTTTGCAGCTGAGGATTAAAACCTTGATGTGTGTTCAAACAAAACTTGCCTGCCACTAATTCTGTGTGGCGTGAGAAGGAATAATACAAACCCACCCACTCCAAAGGTGTATACATAGTGTAAACACTATGTTTTCTTCTTCTTGTTGTTGTTAGTCGTGAAGTCGTGTCCGACCCATCGCGACCCCATGGACAACGTTCCTCCAGGCCTTCCTGTCCTGTACCATCCCCCAGAGTCCATTTAAGCTCACACCGACTGCTTCAGTGACTCCATCCAGCCACCTCATTCTCTCTCGTCCCCTTCTTCTTTTGCCCTCAATCCTTCCCAGCATTAGGCTCTTGTCCAGTGAGTCTGTGTTTAAAGTGTATACAATTAAACGTAGAAAATCTCTCTCTTTTTGTGCCTGTCTTCAGCTTCTTACCGCTCACCTGTCTTTTTGTTGTTGTTATGATTAATTGACGACTTAAAAGTATTTTACGGCCTGAGGCAAAGATTGTGCTTAGCTACTGAACTAAAAAGTCCACAGCGTATATATTAGAACAGCGTTTCACTATCTCTGAAAAGTTCCAAGCATGGACCTCAATTTGCATACACAGTGTGGTATAACAGATGAGGTAATGAACTACAGATCAGATAGTTTTTGGCTGAAAAGTAAAATGAAAGCCCAGTTGCCTCTTGAAAAAAAGAAGCACCTTTGGGACAACTGTGGCCTGGATGACTGAGAATCTCCATAGACATACAGATCAGAGAGTCTTTGCCTGAAATCTTCCTTGCCTTATAGATGGCTTAGCTAACCTTCTGTCTGCTTAGTGGTTTTCAGTGCTAGTGTTATTATTGTTCCTAATATCTGGAGATAACACAAAGCATTGCATAGTTTGGAGGTGACCTTTACCAATCCACTCAAGATAAGAATCCTTTATCATTTGCCTGGGAAGCAGTCCCTGTTCAGCTCAGTGGAACAGTTCTGAGTTTATGCATCATTCCCCAGACCACAAAGAGATCTGTGGCCCAAAGCAACCTAGTTTTTTCATATAGAAGGCTTCCCTTTTGATTGATTCAGGACTTAATTTATATCAGTGAAACTTGTGGGATGTGCTGTAATCTGCTGTTTCCGGACCCAAAAATCATTATAACTTTGCTTTTCAAATCTCCTTCCCACAATCCAACATTGTTCAGGCATTTTGGATGACAAGTCCCATCGTTCTCTGCTTGGCTCATCATTGCTTATAAAGGCTAAGTCTGATGGGGCCGTAGTGCGGGTGCATCTGGATAGCTGTGATATTTCCCTGGTTGGAATTCGTTAATGTGCTGCCGCTTGCTGGGAACACATTGTTGAAATCGTGGAACTGTAAAGCAGGACATGACTTGAAGGTGTCCTTTTCCCCTGATAATCCCCTGCCTTTTTAACTTCTATTATCTTACCTGTTGTATGCAAACCTGCAGAGATGCTGGCTAATCTGCAGAGCTCACTAGGTGACCTTGAGCTGTTTCGGCATCTCTCAGCCGAAGCTACCTACTGGGGTTGTTGTAAAGATGAACTTGAAAAGAAATGGAGAAATATTATTTAAATCACACGGAGTCCTTTTGAAAATCCAGACCTGACAGTTGAGTTAAAATGAAAAGCAGTATGCTTGCAGTTTGGATGGCTGAGCCATCCATGTAGTCATTTCTCCAGCTTGGTTTGTTTCCTAGCTCTTTAGGAATCTGGTTCTAGCTCAACAGGGCAATTTATAAACGACTTCCACAGGAAAAGAAGGCATTCTCTGACAGGTTGAGTGCCAGATATTTAAAGTAACCAAAGCACAGATTAACACCTAACTGTGAATAGCTAACACTTCCAAAGGACTGAATGGGACAAATGTGATGCTTTGTCAATAGCTGGCAAATTTAAATAACTGAAATATTTTAATGTTTAAAAAAGAGAAGAGCAAGGCAGTGGAATGGCTGGAGAATGACTAGTTGTAAACCTTCGGTGCTTGTTTTTCCTGACTTGGAAATTTTCCCCCCGAATTACTCTAGGGAGGCATTGTGGAACAGTGATGGGTTACAGAATTGAGAGATGCCTCATAAGGTCAGGATGGGACTGCAGCAGAGTAGGAGAACATCTGCTTTGCCTGTTCTTGGGATGAATCCTTGGCATTTCTAGTTAAAGGGAATCTAGCAGCAGATGTTGGGGTAGGATCCTGTTCTGAATTCTAGAGGATTATAGTTAAGCAGAGAAGATCAAAGGTAGAGAATCTGGTGGCCTCTAGATGTTTTAGATGTCAGCTGCCATAATCTACATCTGGAATAGACACCATGAGCTAGCATTAGTGACACTGGTATTTATTTATTTATTTATTTATTTATTTATTTATTTATTTATTTATTTATTGGTTCGATTTATATGCCGCCCTTCTCCGGAGACTCAGGGCGGCTTACAATGTGTTAAGCAATAGCCTTCATACTTTTGTATATACCTGTTTAGTAGGGCTTTCGCCCCCCCCCAAGCGGTGTCCTTTTTTTAATACAAAGTCAATTTATTGCCCCCACAATCCGGGTCCTTATTTTACCTACCTCGAAAGGATGGAAGGCTGAGTCAACCTTGAGCCTGGTGAGATTCGAACTTGCAGTAATTGCAGGCAGCTGGTACCCTAGATGTGGTGAGCACAATCGATGAACATTTTGTCCAATATCATCTTGAGAATCATTGGACTGAATGGCCTTTCCCCATGCTTACAAACTGAAGCTGTTAAACACTATCTGATCATTATTTTTGGAGACTCTTTAATTCAGTGGTAAAGCTTTCATTGCATTTTCAGAATAAATATCTAGGTATATTAACTGTAGAGAACCAGTTTGGTATAGTGGTTAAGGTGCCAGGCTAGAAAACCAGAAGATTGTGAGTTCTAGTCCTGCCTTAGGCACAAAACTACCAGGGTGACCTTGGCCAATTACTCTCTTTCAATTATCAAAATTGCAGGGATTATTCCAGGCAGTCATCAGGAATCTGTGATGTTAGATTGGGAATGGCATTGTGATCTCAGCATGTCCCCAGTCCTCTTGTCATTGTTATTCCTTCAGGCAACCACCCAATCCCAGATTGCGCTTGTTCCTCAATTATAACCAGGGAAACTGAGAATGGAAAAGCTCACAGGTGCTTTTCTCTATCTCTGTTTTTCCGAGGAACCATTTGAAACAGCAAATTGTGAAGATGACACATTCAGATATCATACTGGCATGCAAGTGAAGGAACTGGGATTTAATATGGACCTTGTAAAATATTTATGTTTTGGCAAATTTGTATGTGCTGTAGTGAAATGTGTGGATGAATACTATACTTTGTGAAATAATCTTGATTTATTTCTTCCTGTGTTTGTTTTGAAGGAAAAATTGCATGACTTCCATGAATATATATTAAGATATTAGGGAAGGTATTATGTTAGAACTGAATGTTACAGTTAGGTTTTTGTGTTGACAAATATTTTGGCATGTTTTTGTGAGTTTGCAGTTTTGGTACAGGAGACTTATGGAAAATTTATTTTAATTATATTATGCTGGGTTTGAATCTGATTAGAACAAAATGAGGGGAACTGTGTTCTTTACTTTTTTCCTAGACCCAGAATTATCCTTCAACCTTCCCCTTGGCTCTTCAGTTTTATACGTTCACATCTTGTGGTTATATTTCCCACAGATATTTCATGCATTGTGTCAAATTGAATTTTCTCCATTACTGAGTTAGTTGTCCTTTAGTCGCAATGCTTATTCAAATACAATATTTTACAAGCATAGGAAAATCAATACACACTTTATTGTTATTGTGTATTTTATACAGGTCTGCCTTGTTTTCTGCAATTTATCCCCTTGACATTTAGAATTTCTCAACATTTGTGCTTTTTCCTGTAGGGGAGCTGCTCCAATGTTTCAAATACTTTCCAGTGGCCTTTTCTGCTGTGTTATTCTATAGATAAACTTATCAACAAACCATGTCTCCTGATTTTGCAACCTGATTTAAATGTAATACAAACCACAGCTAAAGCACTGATCTGGGCAAATTTTCCATATTATTTCCTTCTTTGTATATATTTATGCATATGTCTTGAGTGGTTAGGTTTTATACATGTAGCTTTAACTTGCCACTTGTGGACATAGGACATTGATTGTTGGCCTCCTCATAATGTTCATCTGTGCATGATGGAGTCATGTAGAAGATATGCCTTGTAGAATGCTGAAATACATTGCCTGCATTCTATTTATACTGGAACTCAGTCAGTTGTCATTTCTGAGTTTTTCCCACTCGTTTCCTCTAATTTCAACCCCAAGGAATAGGAACTCCATGCTCAT